CGAGGTGCCCCCCGACACGCAGCGGCTGGTAGCCCGTTTTGTGGACCGGCAGCAGCGCTTCGTGGACACCGTCAAGGTGCTGCCCTTCAACAGCCGCGGCGGCGCCGTCTACCAGGAGGTCAAGATGATGCGCAAGAAGGAGCCGGTGGAGCTGGACGCCGGCCGCACCAACGCCATCCCGCTGGGGGAGGCACGTGGCCAGGAGCCCGTCGGAGAGCTCGTCATCCCCGCCGGCGCCTTCCTGCGCCCCTCCGGGGAGGTCTTCAAGGGCACCGTCAAAGCCAGCGTCACCTTCCTGGACCCAAGGGACATGGCCACAGCGGGCGCCGCCTCCAGCGACCTCAGCTTTGCCAACGCTGAAGGGGAAATCGTCCCCCTGCGGACCTACGGCATGTTCGCTGTGGACTTTCGGGAAGGGGAGTCCAACGAGGTGCTGCAGACGGGCCGGGTGGAGGTCCGCATGGATGCAAGGCAGATCCGGATGCCAGAGCACCTGCAGAAGATGAAGCTGTGGTCCTTGAACCCGGAGACTGGCTTGTGGGAGGAGGAAGGCGTCTTCCGCCAGGTCAAGGAGAGGAGGAAGAAGAGGGAGGACAGGACCTTCCTCATCGGGAACATGGAGATCCGGGAGAGGCGACTCTTCAACCTGGACGTGCCTGAGAACCGCCGCTGCTTCGTCAAGGTCCGGGCTTACAGCAACGAGAAGTTCAACGCCTACGAGCAGCTGGAAGGGGTGGTCATCAACCTCATCAACCTGGAGCCCCAGCCCGGCTACCCCACCAACCCACGGGCCTGGGGACGCTTCGACAGCATCGTCACGGGGCCCAACGGCGCCTGCCTGCCCGCCTTCTGCGACGGCGAGCGCCCCGACGCCTACTCGGCCTATGTGACGGCCACGCTGGGCGGCGAGGAGCTGGAGGCCGTAGCCTCCAGCCCCAAGTTGAACCCCAACGCTGTGGGGGTGTCACAGCCCTACCTGAACAAGCTGGGCTACCGTCGGCTGGACCACGACGAGCCCAGCTTCAAGAAGACGGCCTTCCAGATCAACGTGGCCAAGCCTGACCCCAACAACATCGACGAGACCAACGGGCCCATCTATCCCTACCGCAGCCTCAAGGAGTGTGAGGAGGCGCCGGCCAGCGCCAACCACTTCCGCTTCTACCGCGTGGAGGTGGACAAGTACGAGTACAACGTGGTGCCCTTCAAGGAGAGCGACCTGACGTCCTGGACGGGTGACTACCTGTCGTGGTGGCCCAACCCGCAGGAGTTCAGGGCGTGCTTCATCAAGGTGCAGATCGAGGGGCCGCAGGAGTACATGGTGCGCTCCCGCAACGTGGGCGGCAGCCACCCGCGCACCCGCGGGCAGCTCTACGGCCTGCGCGACACCCGCAGCGTGCGGGACATGCAGCTGGAGAACAGCTGGGGCGCCTGCGTGGAGTTCAAGTGCAGCGGGATGCTCTTCGACCAGAGCCTCGTGGACCGC